GCAGTCAAAACACTGGGTTCTCTTAGTGTAATCGGCATGCAATTTTATACGCCGTCTGCGGGCATGCCCGTGTTGATGCACGAATGTGTATTTTTGCCGTTGCTGTTTTCGCGGTCAATGTAATATTGCAGATGCACCCCTACAATTATGAGGCAAATTGGAATGGTCCAGAAAAACCCGTTGTTTGGAATAGCGGTGGGGGGTGGAACTTCATGCAGATGTGCGGAGGGGTCGATAAGTGGCACCATAGATGTTCGCAGCCAAAACGCATTGTTCCGTACGTAGCATTTCTGTGTTATTTGGCATGTGGTTTGCCATTATGCCCGTGGTGATGCACGTCTTTTTATTTTTACCCTAGCAGTTTTGATATTGGAGTAAATGCTTATTTTTGAAACATCCCTATAATGTCGTTGAGATGTTGCGCGGGTATCTGACCGGCGGTAGTAACACTCGCGGTGTAACACAATCCCATGACATGTCAGGAAGGTAACGTTAAATAATGTGATCATTTCACCATGAAAACACACATTTTGTAATTTTTTTCTGTTAGTGACGTTTGAACAGAAACTGTGACGTGCAACTCGATAGAATATTGATGCCAGCAATCTCATGGAAGGGGAATATAAGGACATGTCAAAAATGTGAACAGTTAACAGCGTTAACCAGTTAACAATTAGTAGTGCAATGCCTGTCCTTGGTGCTGAACGCCATCCACACATGGTGGATACCGACCCTAATTTTTTTCAGGACTGAAACAGGAAACACAACATTTTTCCCTAGGCCTAGCAAGAAAATATGATTTGAGCTTGTCTTGTTGTTGGGATAAGTGACTGGAGGAGGAACAGAGGCAGTACTGAGTTGGTACATGATAACTCGGTGGTCGTAGTCTGAACTAGTTGCAAGTCTATCTCATCCAATCTTGTGCAGCACATCTGTGTAATGTGTCTGTGATGTAACAAAGCGGCTCACATGATAGCTATTGATGTTATTTTGTAGTAAGGAATATTTGCTGTGCTTGGATGGCGTTCAGCACCAAGGACAGACATTGTACCATCTTGCTATATATGGTGAACAGGGACAAGACTGTTTGGCTATTTGTAGCTAAATGTGTTCAGGAACAGGAATGTTTGGCTATGTGTAGATGGCGTTGAATATATCCTTTTCCCCACTTCCAGACCTTGCTACGACACCATGCAGTTTTATGTTAAAACTGAAGGACTTAGATGTCCAACTTTTAGGTAGTACTACGTTTGACAATTAACATCATTTGAGAGCCTTTTTTTTTGTTTGAACATCAATTATGATTCAATGCAATATTAGCTTTTATTTAAATGAAATTTTACAAGAAAAGAAGAGTAGTTTTCCATATAATTAGCCATTACTATGGCTCTAGATTGTCACTTGCTGGGGTAGAGTATTCTGGTATATTTCTGATAATAGTCTGAACAGTTTTAATAATATTGTGTTACGCTATGTAAACAAACATGGCGACTGGTCCGGTTGCCTCTGCCGATTCATTATTTAGTAATTCCTTGTTCCCTGACCTACATATAAGTTATGCCAAAATACAGCAACTTGGGGTGTTATTTCATCAGAATGCAGGGTGTATTCTGGTAGATTTAAGCCTCCAATAAGTGTTTTCCAGCTAGTGTTTCCGGTAAATAGGCAGACCAGGGGGTCAGGTCAGTGTAATTACTAGTACATATATTAGAAGTGATCCTTTCAAGTTGTTGAAGACCTGTTTAAAGTTAAAATTTTTTTAGAACCTTTTACCCTCAGGATTGTTCTATATCATCACATGGAATACTTAGTACAGCCTAAATATTAAATGTTCACAATTCCATAATCTAGTCTAAGAGTATTTCCCTATCTGTCAGCAGGAGCCAAGAAGACTTCTGAAGACGAGTAGATTTTTAGTGAAAGCTGCGGCTTTATTAGTAATCCTGGATGTTACACAAGGTTGGTGTTAATCGGCTTACATTAATCAGCTAACATGTCATGTCATATATCTACATTCCAACAAAAAACACTCAATTTTACTTCATGCTGTTCATTAACATTCTTTAGCATTAACATCAGTTTACGTGTTTGTTGCTATATTCAGTTGGTTTTACATCAGGGTCATAGAGAATATAGATGTATTCATAAACAGTGATAACTCTTCCCGGGAAATATTAGTAAGCCTAAATGGCAATTACATGAATTGTCTCATGAATTGGTACATTACATCGTTTTTTTTGGTGAAATTTGTATTCCTATTTAGGATTGAAAGGTTGGATTCTTCCATAATAGGATATTTGAATGTGATTCATGATAATGTCGATGGGCATTTTGCAAGTCGAACTGAACTTTCCCTTGTATAAAGGTGGCATATCCATGGGAAATTTAGTTTCAAAAGTGATCAGTTGTATCTTGTCTTTTTGTTTGCCTTCAACGCTAAATTTCATGATCAACTTCTTCTCAACAAAGCCGTATGGATCTTTTGAGCATTCACTGTTCTTCAAGAATCTTGAATATAGAGTTAGCAATTATACCTTTGTCCCTTTCCTAATGCAGCTTGGCTACCAGTGTTTAAGGTTACACTTTAAATTTTATACCAGAAGTAAAGTAAAAACTATGCCTTATTATGAGGGTCTGCATGGGGGCATGTTGGCAATGCTTAACAGTGATTTTAGGAGGGTTGACAATGAATGATCTTCAGGAAGCCTAGTAATGCTTAATGGTAAATTTACTTGTTCTTGTGTAAAGGCTTCGGGAAATTCTTTTGCATTCATGAGGTGTCTGACAAAACTGGTCTGTGGACACTGTTAGAATTTTCGGGCAATCTGGCATTGACTACGCCATACAATTTTTCATTAACGCTTGACGATTAATTCAGGATAACAACGTGCTACAAGGAGTTAAAGTAACTAATTGTGTTTCTTGGATAATTTTGCAACAACGCTGAACATTGAATTAAAGCTGGCTACGATTAAGGCTTATTAAAATGGCTTGCTACACTCCACGGAAAAAGCATGCCCTCTATAGTCTGCCCACTATGCAGGGCTCTGCAAAAATTTCTGATTACATGAAGTGCATTTTAGATTATGCAGGCTTCTTTATCCTATCACATGTTGATGATGATCCCATGTTAATCACATCATAATGACTAAAAAGCTCTTTGTGATGTATTTCTACATGAGAACTACAATCAGGTTACACTGTAGCCTGTAGGAAATATAACTTGTGAGGATACTGAAATTCAACTAAGAAGTTTTGGCGTCCACCACAATGACTCCGTGTTACAGTCACATTACTGAACCCTCAAACACCCGAACGGGGTCCATTTGGACCCCAGGCGTATATTCTTACGTGCTATTTGAAATTTCATTCGAAAAAAAATTCCTCTCGTGACTTTGTCGATAAACATCTTCTACAAGTTCTCCTAAATTTTTTTGGAGATCGGCACAAATTTATAAAAATAACAACGGCAGTCTTATGTAAGACCGTCTGGGGTCCAAACGGATCATGCCAAAATATATCTCTTACTATGTTTAACCAACATATGTGCAAAGATCACTGAAAGGATGCAAAAAGGAATATAAATTTGAAAGAAACCAAATGGGGTTCATTTGGACCCCGTTCGGGCATTAACGTCACAAAAAAGTTCGGGTGTTTGAGGGTTAAAGTACTGAAAAACTACAAGTTACATTTGCTTAGAACTACAACAGGCTCAAGGAATTAGTAATGATTCTGATATTACCTAAGTTAGCACTGAATAGTAGCGTATGACTAAAGTATTCGGCTTCTACAAAAGCACTCAGTCTAACAGTTGTATATTTGTCTATATACCACTGAAAATAAAGTAGATATAATGGGCTTTCATATGAAGTCCAAGTATATGTTTATAAAATGGGCAGAAACACTACAAACATAGTATACACATGTACTCTGACTCATATGTATCACCATGTGGTCTCAAATGATACAAATTTAACAAAGGAACAAGCCATTGATTTTTCCCAGTTGCTGTCCAATATGTAATGGATTACTTTTGAAATTTCTGCTGTATGCTTTTTTTTTACTAATTCTCATCGTTCTAATAACAGAAGTTTGCAATTTGAGACAAAATGCACTAAGAATGAGTGTCATCTGGACATAAAGCCCCAAGAAGAGACTTGTCTTGCCGAGGTTATTTTTCTTGACTGGTAGAGAGTGTCTGAAATAGTTACAAATCTGTAAAAGGATACAAAACATCACCAGGGAACGGATGTGCACTGTTAAGAATTTCCATGATTTCATTTGTGGCCAGTGGTGACATGTTCTTCTACATGGCTCTTAGCCTGTCCTGACAAGGGACCAGGATTCTTGTCTTCATCAACTTACAATGCATACTGAGGCCTTTTCAAGAAGTCTTTAACACCTTAGATATTTGAAGTGTACATAGCTCAGAAATTACTAATGCTGCTGGAGATCTCTTCAAATTCATTCTTTTCTTAATTTGGTGGCACAGTTATGGTTAGTGGCAGTATTTTGAGTCTGAGTAGATGTTGTAGATTGTGCTAGGATAGATATTTGGTTGTAGCTCAAAATTACTAGTATCTATGAAAAAAAAAATCTTAAAACTCAAGCAGATGTTGGAAGGAAGATTGTAACGTCTCCTGACTGTCCCGGGTCAGTCAGGAAAAGTTATGACTGTTCCTCCCAATATCTGCTTGGAGATGACATCATCTAGCCTCTCCCAGGCTTCAAGAGGCGGCTGGAAAGAGTAGAAATTGACCAAATAGAGCGATAACATGCTAGGGGAGTTGGTCCACTCTAGAGTACAGCTTGTCGCTCTGGAACGCTCAAAAGTGGCAAATTGTACTCTAGAGCAGACCAACTCCCTTGGCATGTCTCTACTTTCCATTTGGCCGATCGATTTCTACTTTCCAGACGCCTCCCGAAGCCTGGTAGAGGCTAGACATCATCCATGCTGCACAGTTCACGTCTGTTGAGCTGGAACAGCAGAAGGTCATGTACTGTAGGTGTCACTCTTCCAGGCCGTACTGCAAGGGGCAAGAAAACAGTCATACAGTCTAACTTTGTTGTCAACACCTTCTCAAAATTGTAACAGATCTTCCTACATTTACAATTGATGGATTTGTGTATGTGTCTGACTCAGTGTGTGTGCATGTTTGTGATTGTGCTGTGTGTGACTGTGCATGTGAGTCATTGTGACTGTATGTCTGTGTGTGTGTGTGTGTTAGTTGTGATTGTGCTGTGTGTGACTGTGCATGTGAGTCATTGTGACTGTATGTCTGTGTGTGTGTGTGTGTGTGTGTGTGTGTTAGTTGTGATTGTGCTGTGTGTGACTGTGCATGTGAGTCATTGTGACTGCATGTGTGTCTTACTGTGCACACGTACGTGTATCTGTGTGACTCTGGCCATGTGTGTGTTTGTGTGTGTGTGTGTGTCTGTACATTTCATTGTTACACCTAATTGTTACATATTACTTGTTTTTCAATAATGCCCTTGGTTTTCTGATGCTCCTTTCTCGTGGAATTTAAACATTTGTATACTAAAGAGAGGAGCTCTTCTTCTGTGAAATTCACAGTATAACAGATTCCTAATTTCCTATAGAAGGATTAATCTTACCTCCAAGTTGTCTTCTTCAGCGCGGACTTCATTCTCCAGCATCTCCAGAGCCTTCTCCAACATGTCCTCCTCTCGGACTTCGTTTGCCCCTCCTATCTCAGGCTCTTGTGGGCCATGCTCTCCTATCTCAGGCTCCTGTGAGCCAGGCTCTTCTATCTCAGGCTCCTGTGAGCTAGGCTTTCCTATCTCAGGCTCCTGTGAGCCAGGCTCTCCTATCTCAGGCTCCTGTGAGCCAGGCTCTCCTATCTCAGGCTCCTGTGAGCCAGGCTCTCCTATCTCAGGCTCCTGTGGGTCAGCCTCTCCTATCCCAGGCTCCTCTGGCCATGAATCAGGCTCCCCTGGGTCAGGCATCTCCCTCTTTCCAGAACATGCTAGAACATTAATCAATAATAGATTATCAGACTGATTTCAAAGTGGTGTGTCACTGCTTTCATGATGGTCAGTATATTTGTCACAGAAGCTTGTCTGTGTGTATGTGTGTGTGTGTGTGTGTGCATACGTGTATATGTTTCTGGCTACTGATCAACTTACTATCAGAAAGCAGTGTGGGTAAATGGATGACGTCTGCTATCTTGGCTTTGTTTGCTTTCTATTATACATTTGATTTACGTTGGCACTTACCGATGCAAGTATAGCTCACTTCCAGGTACTTGAAGGTGCCATAACAAGGATCCCCAAACACGCTGTTGGAGGCCCTCACAGAGCAGCTGGACCTTCCCTGGCAGCTTCCCCTGACCCAAACCTGGCTGTTGGGGCTTCGGCAGCTGGTGGTGCGGATTTGGCTGCTGGGGCAAAAGCCACGGGAGGTCCGGCCGTACAGGGCAGACACGATGTTGATCTGTCGTCCAGCAGGACAACTGATGGTCAGTGTTTGGTGTTCACAGACTCGACGTAGCCCCGAGGTTCCTCCTACAAAATAAAGAAAGTTCAAAGATCTGAAACCTCTATAGAATATTTGAAGCATTTTTATACTGTGTTGTTGGAAACATTCATGTCGAAATGAAATTAAATATGAGAACAATAATAATTGATCAGCTTTCATAAACATTGATGACTGCATGCACTATTCCAAAACATGTCAGTTCCTAAAATGCTGTGTCTGGCCTTTCATTTTTGTAATGGGTTGGGTTACAATATCAATCATTTCAGATCAAAGAACGTCGTGAAGTATCGGCCTTTTAAGAAGAAAAGCAAGTCAACGTCTTCAAAGAGCATGCAGTTTTATACTTTGTTCCGTGTTATAACTCTACTGCAGTGTTTTAGTGATAGATTGATCTTTTGAATGGCCATAAAAATATGTAGGCACGGTTTAGGACACGATAAACCACACCGAGAAGCAAACAAGTTGGAGAAACTTACCAGGCCTGATTGGTGAAACTTGGCAGATGTACCGTAGATTGCTGGAGCAAGACAAGTCGTTCCACTTGCCTCCATATCCTGGCAGCAAAGTGGCGCAGTCCTCATTCCTTACATTATTTGGTTCCCCGGGGTTCCAGTTGTTGTAGGAACCTGTGGAAAGAACGGGAAGTGTTAAGAGAAGTAAGTGAAATATCTTCTCATGCAATCTCCTTCATGTTGGTGGTGTCTTAATAGGACATAGAGTACGGTCCCATCACATCGTTTACATTTTGACATAAAAGCTGACGGTGATCTTTATTATTGATAAGTATCCTTAGCATGTGATCCTGGTAAGGTTTTACTGTTAAACCCTGCAGAGCTGTCGCTAGAATGATGACATGAGAGACCAGCAAAACAACTGATTATTGGAAGTACCTAATGCAGTTCCGTCAGCAAAGCGCCATTGTCCTTCGGCGTTTTGATCACTCAGTCCGATGTAGAAAGCGGCGTCGTTTCGTACCGCATTCTTCAGCTGGACCAGGAACGCGTTAGTGGCGGCGTCTTTCGGCATGGCCAGCCTACCGCCTTCTGCCTGGCAGGCCTTCATGGCCCAGGTGTAGTCAGGTTTGGTTTGGGGGAAGGCCTTGAAGCAGTTTTGCTGGAAAGGTCGATAGCCCGCCGGACATGTAACTTGTACCACGGGTGGTCCTGTAACATTAGGAAGATCCATGGTCAATGATGCTTACTAACCCTATCGTATCCAGAACCGTGCCTATGTACATTTGTGTAGTTCTACATGTTAACTCTAACCCATTCAAGTGTACATAATGTACACCTGAATGGGTTAGAGCTAGGGTCAGTAGGAATTCAGGCACGGTTCCGGAAGGGGAGTGCAATGGTTAGGTGAGGTGAGGTGCGGATTCCAACACATAGTATTGACTTCTACCACGGTGACCGCAGAATGAACTGAAAGTAAGAACAGCAATATACGATGTTGGCTGTATATAAAACAAATGTCAGTTGGCAACTCAATAATAAGGATACAAGACCCCTATATTACGGCCAATGATTCTTTGGCATAACTACCATGTCAAAAATAAAATGTTTCAACTTATGTTTCTTAATTCGTGTCAAGTGTGATACAAAATACTTGACGTTCAGCCTAGTACCAAAACTTCATTCTGTAAAGTGTAATGCATCATATACGACTATTCACTGTCTAAGGTACACAGTGATATTCCCCGAGACGTCCCGCAATATCCCGCAGGACGTTCCGCAATCTCCCGCAGTGGAGCACTCAAGTGGGAGGGGGCGCTTTGTAACGTGCGCCCCAAATGCCGGACAACTTTGATCGTACAATTTGTAAACAATATTACATGTATAGCGATATTGGATTCGGATATATTGTCCATCATCCTACAAATAATGAAAGTTCCTAACATGAAATGCTAACTGTCATCAAAACCCCAGAATATCCAGGATAAAAGAAAACTGGAAGTTCTGCTACAGTACATCTGCAGAAGGACAGCCGATAGGGGGCTCAAATTCAACCAGGACATTCACCTTCCTAAGATCTACCCACATACCAAATATCAGAAATCCAGCCAGGCCTTCTTGTTGCTAACTAAAACTACTATTCAGAAACACAGACAGATCGACAGGCACAAATACAAACCAGGCAAAACCAATGCCTCTTTTTTTCATGGAGTCAGAAGTCAGAATTATGTAACAAGATACACATAAGGGCTAGATGAACAGAAGTCATCTTAATTTTAGACAGAGGAACTAGGAAGATTTCCTCCACAAGATAATAATGTGTGATAATTTTATTGCAAATTTCACACTCAAGTTACACAATTGCAATGATCCTTCAAGATGTCATACTGGACAAAAGTATTAATGCAATTGCATCGATACTAACCTGGCGAGACTTGACAGATGAACTTCCTGTTGGCATTTGAACACTCGAAATCATTCCACATGTTCTTAATGGATGAGTATGGGGCCGCGACAATCCCAGCGTTGTACTCGGCACAGTCCTCGTTTGCATAGTTGTTGGGTTCTCCTGGACCCCATGCCTTGAAGGGGCCCAGAGGAATGTTATTGGCCCACTTCCAGCCTCCCTCCCGGTGGTTGTCAGTCAGTCCGAAACGGAACAAACCGTTGATGTCGACGGCATTCTTCAGGTAGATGAGGAACTTGTTGGTGGCGGTGTCGCGGGGCATGGCAAGGGTTCCCCTGTCTGCAGAACACCTCGCAACAGCACCGCTGTATGTTCTCTTCTCGTTGAAGGCCTTGTAACACTGGCGACTGGGTTGATGATAAATATAACCACCTGGACAACCTATTTCAGAACAAATAGGGAAATCAGTTGAACTGCACTTGTTCTTAATACCATCTGTAGGCTAAGGCCATTTTGGTATAAAAAGGAATCAGTGAATAAGAATGTTTTATACGACATCTTTGAATATTATGACTGTCAAGGCTGACAAGGACCAATTAACCTAAATATAGCACACCTGTGGGGATTTTCTGGCAGATGAATTTTCTGTCAGTCCTAGAACACGGCGCATCGTTCCATGCTGTAGGGAAGTACTCGGCGCAGTCCTCGCCGCCTGCGTTGTTGGGTTCTCCTGGGCCCCATGCCCTGAAGCCTAGGGGTGTCCCATCTATCCACTCCCAGCGTCCCTCCTGGTGATGATCCACCAAGCCGAACCAGAACCAGCCAGCCCTGTGCACAGCGTTTTTCAGGGAGAGGAGGAAGGCATTGGTACCGGCATCCTTCGGCATAGCGAGGGTCCCTCCATCAGCCACACATGTCGAAGACGCATCGTGAAAGTTCTTTCGTGTGTTGAAGGCCTTGTAGCAGACACCGTTACGCATCCGGTATCCACCGGAGCAGCCTGAGGGGAAAATAAAGATCAAGTGGTTCAGCTTTGTCATAGAAGCTTGTCTGTGTGTGTGTGTTTGTGACTACTGACAAACTTACTATCAGAAAGCATTGTAGATAAATGGGTGACATCTGCTATCTCGGAATTGGCTTTGTTGGCCTTCTGTCACATAGTTAATTGATACAGGACAACTGATGTGTTTGGTGTTCACAAACTCGACGTTCTTCCGAGGTTCCTTCTACAAATAATAAAAGTTCCTTGAAAAGCTAACTGAACAAAAATCAAAACCCCAGGATGTACAGGATAAAAGAAAACCATAAGTTCTGCAACAGTACAGAAGGACAGCCTCTAGAGGTAGCCTCCTTCGCAGTCTTGTTGGGCGTCGGCGTTATTTTTGTCTGTGAGCAACGCGAGTAATATGCCGCCGCGAGGGACGATTTGCTGCCGAGGGAGTTTTTGCCGCAGAGAGAAGGTTTTGCGCTCCAACGAATCCGCGAATCCTTCTCTCCTTCACCACCCTACAGAAGTTGGAAGCTAGCTATAGGAAACAGAAGAAAGCTGCTCTGAATGAAAGCCGAACAAGATCAGAGAAGGTTAAGGCACAGAAATCATACACGGCTGCCGATAAGGAAGTGAAAAGAAGTATTAAAAGGGACCACTTTGAAGAGCTAGCTAGGCAAGAAGAAGAAGCAGCAGGGAAGGGAAACCTGAAGGACCTGTACATGACAACAAGAAAACTGGCAGGTAAATTCCAGCAGGTGAACAAGCCGGTAAGGGATAAGGAGGGTAACCTACTCACAACAACGGAGGAGAAGATGAAACGATGGGCGGAGCATTTCAGCGAACTACTAAACCGGCCAGCTCCAGATACACCTCCAGACATCCCACCTGCAGATGCAGAGTTACCCATCAACACAGGAAAACCTTCCAAGATAGAGAAAAAGAAGGCCATAATGTCACTCAGCAATGGGAAATCAGCCGGACCAGACGATATACCTGCAGAAGCACTCAAGGCAGACATCATGAACAAGCTCGGTCAACATGCAACACAGTCTGTTTGGTAAGATCTGGGAGGAGGAGCAAGTTCCATCAGAGTGGAGAGAGGGCATACTGGTTAAGCTTCCAAAGAAAGGGGATCTGAGCAGCTGCAGTAACTATAGGGGGATCATGCTTTTATCAACAGCGGGGAAAGTCTCCAACAGAATTCTTTTAGAACGAATGAGAGATGCTGTAGATGTCAAGCTTAGAGATGAACAGGCAGGGTTCCGTAAGAGTAGATCCTGTGCCGACCAGATCGCCACGCTACGCATCATAATAGAACAGTCTCTGGAATGGAACTCTCCACTATACATTAATTTCATAGACTGCGAAAAAGCTTTTGATAGCATAGATAGGGACACCTTGTGGAAGCTGCTACGACACTATGGGATACCAGAGAAGTTCATATCTCTAATCCAGAACACATACAGACACACGAGTTGTAAGGTAGCACATGCGGGACAGTTAACGGAGAGTTTTGAAGTGAAGACTGGAGTACGCCAGGGCTGTCTGCTCTCGCCACTTCTTTTCCTGTTGGTGATTGACTGGATCATGAAGACATCAACTACAGGAAGGAGAACTGGGATCCAGTGGTCACTCTGGACACAGCTAGAGGATTTAGACTTCGCAGATGATCTGGCACTTCTCTCACATAATCACATGCAGATGCAGGATAAAACAACCTGCCTGGACACAGTATCTGTCAGCACAGGACTTAAAATCAGTAAAAAGAAAACAGAACTCATGAAGATCAACACCACAAATAGTACACCAGTCATCATTGGAGGGGAAGAGGTGAAGGAGACGGAAGCCTCTGTGTACTTGGGTAGTGTGGTCGACCGGCAAGGGGGTACGGATAGAGATGTAACAGCAAGGATAGGGAAGGCAAGGGCAGCGTTCATCATGCTAAGGAAGGTCTGGGCCTCTAGAGGGATTCGCAGAGCCACTAAACTTCGCATCTACAACTCCAACGTCAAATCAGTCCTCCTCTGTGGATCAGAAACATGGAGAACAACAAGAGCCACACAGCACAGGTTACAGATCTTCATCAACGCCTGTCTCAGAAGAATCTTTAAGATCAGGTGGTGGGACAGAGTCAGCAACCAGGAGCTGTGGGACAGAGCGGGTCAGAAACCCATCAGGGAACAGATTTTAAAGAGGAAATGGTCCTGGATAGGACACACGCTGAGGAAGGCCAACACTAGTATCACTCAGCAGGCCCTGACCTGGAATCCACAGGGAAAGAGGAAGAAGGGTGGAGCTAAGAACAGCTGGAGAAGGGACACGGAAGAGGAGATGAGGAGTATCAGCACCAGCTGGCAGGACCTGAGACGTGTGCAGTGGAAGAACATCATCGGTGGCCTATGCCCTGGCAGGGGCGAAGGGCCTAAGTAAAGTAAAGTAAACAAATCGTCCCTCGCGGCGGCATATTACTCGCGTCGCTCACAGAAAAAAATAACGCCGACGCCCAACAAGGCTGCGAAGGAGGCTACTCTAGAGGGCTCAAATTCAACCAGGACAACCATCTTCCCAAGACCAGCTTTCTCAGATTTTCTAAAGGGCCTCGCCTGCAAAGTAGTGGTATAAGGATTTCAGCATAAGGATTTCAGTTTTGGTGAACATTGGTAAAATACAGCAAGTTGTAACTCACCAGCTTGTCGTGTTTGGGGAAGCCAGGATTCGCCACCGAATTCTTCGGTCCCGACGCCGTTCTTGTGGACAAAAGAATGAGAATAGTATAAGAACTAGTAATCTACATTCATGAACCAGCACCCTGTCTCCCCGAGGAGTAGGCCTTATTTTCACCTTATTTTCCTACAGGGAGCCCTTGTCGAACCAGATGACAGGGAACTTCTGCAGCCCCGATGAGAGCTGTACAAGTCACCATAATTGATTATAGACTGCACACCCCGCTATATTGTAACAACCCACACCCTATGCCACATAAATTTACCTGTTCCATCATATCCATGGTATTGTCTTTATCCCCACCAACTTGACCATCGATCAATTCTGCAAGATCAATTTCAACAAAAACTTCCTTCTTATTAAATCATCATCAAAAGCCGCACTTGTCCATCATATCAAGTTGAACCTATTTTCAGTCAGGTCAGATGTTGTATAAAATCTAGTATGTGAGTTGTACTGTTTACAAAGATAAATATATATCACAGGCATGTATGTAATGTCCTTGAAAAGATGGACTGAACAGTCAATCAGATTTTATAAATATATGGCCGAAATATTGAAATTCTACCTTCCAGTCGTTCCATGAAGGATTCAGCCTTCCCTGCAACTGACAGATCCCTTTTCTCAGGAGCAGCAGACGACTGGAGGACTGAAATGGTAGATGAAAGACAATCAAACAAGGAAAGTTTCTAAAATTTTTAAAATTAAATTTTGTAAAAGTAAGGTCTAAGTTAAGACTTAAACATCTTAACTTAGACCTTAGTCCTAACACTCAAGTACCTGTGCCAAAAAGCCTAACGAAAACCAAGAAATCAAATTGGTGTAGACAAACAGTCCAAGGTTTTTTATCCCCCTTGTTCAAGTTGTTGCATTGAGAGAAAGGAGGTGCTACTGCCCTTGTGTACCCTTGTGTACTCAATATATCCATCGTTAAGCCTATCAAGAACAATGATCCTTTGTGGTTCCCCACTGCTGTGGTATATAACGCACCCCTCAGGCAACATCTGAGGACACGGAGATTTCACAGTCAATGATTCCATAACAGATGTTCTGAAAAGCTGTCTTTTCGTATCTTTTCGTATCTATTGATGTGAGGCATGAAAGAAGCATCTAGCAATTGACTAACAGAGTCATGCTTCCTCAGCTAATCAAGAGCGTGTATTTCTGGTAATTAAATCTCCATTATGTCGATACACAAGGGCTTAAGGTCTGCTTTATATAATCTCCAAGCAGATCTTTTGGGGGCTGCAAAGACAGTATCAAAATTGGCCATGCAGGCGGTATTCAAGTAAATGACTGTATAAAGTAGTAAATGTGTGCGATAATTACTTGCAGTTCCTCCCACAGCCAGTATGAGGAGCACCCCTCGGTACATGGCCTGGAACGTCATCATCGGAAACCAAGCGTTCACCTGGAATGATTGGCAGAATTCGATCACAGAGTTTAGGTCTCTTAATCTAAATGTGCTATTTAACAAGTAAGAAGTCTTAACATACACTTGCTATGTTTCCCTGCTAGTCTTTACAAGACACTGAGGTGGATTGAAAGGGGAATATTTGGTCATCTTAGGAGCGCAGATTTGTCCAATCCAGCTTATTTTGGTAAAGTTCCCACGCACACGCAACCGATCCCCCATGGGCATCTGTCAGGCTCAGACAATAGACAGTCGGTGCAACTTTATGTGGCTGGCCTGAAATCTTCAGGTCACTTCCTGATCATCACAGATCAAAGGAGTTTTGGCAGTGATTTAAGAACTTGACTTCCTGCGTTTTTCAGAGGATTTCAGAGAAAAAGTAGATAACTTTTTATTCAAAGTAGGCAGTTTTTTATACAATTTCAGACCCGCCAATGGTACGAATCAGTCCATCTAAAGAGAAATCTTGAACTTTTGGATAAAAAGTGGACCAAAAAGTGGACATTTAGCCTTGCATATTGTGTGTGTGTGTGTGGGGGGGGGGGTCTTCCGAACCACCCTGGCCACGGGCATGGTTAGAGTGCCGCCAGGATGTGGACCGAATGTTGGCCGCTATCCGGGCGGGCTACGGGCAACCGCTTTACGCGCGCTTTTCTGGTTAGGTCTTAGTTGTAATAGACCACACGAAAGTCTATGTACTTTGTACTGCACTCGTATACCTAGTACGTACCTCCTAAGTGCCCGCTCTGCCAACAATTCGCGGTATTTTCATGGTTACTTGTATCTGTATAAGTCCAATAACCAACTTAAATCCATACTCTAAACAGAGATGGACGACAACATGTGGACATCTGTCGAGATATGCCATTTCTGAAGGTTCATTTTTCAAAATTTCCCCGGGGAGCATGCCCCCGGGCTCCCCCTAGGAACCTCGCGCCTTCGGCGCTCGCCTCGCGCCTACGGTGCTCGCTGGTCCCCTCAAGCAGTGGGAAGAACTTCCCCCCTCCCCATTCAAAATCCTGGCTACGGGCATGCTAACGATTTCAGAATCAGACGAAGGTTCGCTAAATCTCCGCGGCTCGGGACAGGCCTTCCTACAATATTTCCCCAAATCCGGGCCGACTTCCACAAAGTTGGTTTTGCTCCAGTCGCGCCTTACCTTTCGCGGCTTCAGCGAGCGTTGGTCGTACTTTAGGGTACGGCCCGGGCTTCCAAATGTTCCATAGAACGACTGATTCGAATGCGTTTCGCTCTATTATACCGCGTGCACCGCTATCGAAAATTCGAATACAAAATTCGGACGTTTAGGGACACCAAATTTTCGCTCATTTCGCATTGAAAGGCGTGTTTCCTTGGGTGGGTATTACAAATAAAATACAACACGGGGTATTCCGCATCATCCTCGGCCCCAGCCCTCCCGCGGATCGGATCTCCCTCCGGCCTTCGGGCGATCCGACGCCCGGTCGGGCTGGTACCTCGGGCGATACGGAATACCCCGTGTAGTATTCTATATATAGCGTTATACTTTATCAACTTTTTGTGCACGAAACTACATTAAGATTTCTAATAGGTAACTCGATACTCATATTCACAGCGACAAATGACAACTTCCTGAAATATCTATCAAGAAATAGCCATGCCTTAAACGTTTTAAGTCTGAAAAGTTCCTACCTGTGACAATGCACATTAGCCACCGCACGGTCCTGTCTTGGTACAGAGCCGTTTCGCCCAATGACGGGCGAGTTGCTCTGGCCACTTTTTATATACAGTTCTGTATGGCGTACAAAAACGCCCCTTTTTGAATGGGAGTGGCATGTTTCCCTGTTAGTCTTTCCAAGACACTGAGGCGGATTGAAAAAAAGACAATGGCCCAGAAGGGGAATATTTGGTCATCATAGGAGTTCAGATTTGTCCAATTCAGCTTATTTTGGTAAAGTTCCCTCGCACGTGCACACGCAACCGATCCCCCTCCCCCAGGCATCTGTCAGGCTCAGACAATAGACGGTGCAACTTTATGTGGCTGGCCTGAAATCTTCAGGTCACTTCCTGATCATCACAGATCAAAGGAGTTTTGGCAGTGATTTAAGAACTTGACATCTCGACAGATGTCAACATGTTGTCGTCCATCTCTGTTTAGAGTATGGATTTAAGTTGGTTATTGGACTTATACAGATACGAGTAACCATGAAAAATACCGCGAATTGTTCGCAGAGCGGCCACTGAGGAGGTACGTACTAGGTATATATGAGTGCAGTACAAAGTACAGGGACTTCCGTGTGGTCTATTACAACTAAGATCGAACCAGAAAAGCGCGCGTAAAGCGGTTGCCCGTAGCCCGCCCGGATACGGGCATGCTAACGATTTCAAAATCAGACGAAGCTCGCTAAATCTCCGCGGCTCGGGACAGACCTTCCTACAATATTTCCCCAAATCCGGGCCGACTTCCACAAGTCGGGCCTTACCTTTTGCGGCTTCAGCGAGCTTTGGTCGTACTTTACGGTACGGCCCGTACTTAAAGCGATATTATGTAGAATTTTAACTATTTTAAACATCTTTATTTTAAACATTTTCTTGCTCTGTAAGCCTACCTGGGTTCATAATGACATTTAGGGATTAAAATATCAACGTCGTTACGCCGCAAAAACGTGTTGGAAAACTGCACACTTCTCGGCGCTAGCACTGATCGGGGCCATGTTTGTTTACATCCGACCGCGTCCGAGCATTCCCGAATCCAGCCGAACCGCAGGTCACCGTAGAACACGTTATTCTCTAAAATACGGCATTTGCCGGGTCACGATTTTACAACTGTCAATGGTGCAACAAAAACACCTTAGACATACGTAACGTTTATACTTTTTCATATCTACAGGATTTGCCTAGTACAACAATGTAGATATTTCGTGCATTACAAAATGACAGCGATCGTTATGGCCTTCCAAACATTAGCATTTTTGGTCAGTTTATCTGTGCTTATCTTTTTTTTACTGGCCAACTGGATCCCATTAGCTAATATCACAGTGTGATAGCCCACATCTTCACCTTTACATCGATACCAAAGTCCCCTGGTTAGTTTTAGGACAAACGGGTTTGCCCCAAAGAAAACCGCGACGGTGCACACGTTGCGGTGACGAAATTTTAGCCCAGTTGTAGCTACCGACACACACCATTCTGAGTTTCCGCAACATTTTGATACATTCAGCGTATAATAATGTCATAAACTTCGTTCCTTGGTATGAGAAACTGTATGAATGTGGCTACCACATGCAATATGATAAGTGACATGATAACTTTCAAGTATATACAAAAAGAGGATTTTAGATTAGGTACTGACCCTTCAAAAATTGGCAAATTTGAAGTCAATCGGCTTCGAACTCCAGCGTTCGAAAGCGTTCGAACCATGGAACCCGGACACGCGCCGGAAGTTGCCGAAGATTTCCGAACGAAAACCGTTGTTTGTTTACATTCTATTTTTGGGGTCACAAATAAATACGTATGGCCTTGCGCAACTTATTCTCGCGCTGCGCTGAGTTGCCGAAAATAGCGAAATAGCGACGCTAATAAGTAATCGAAAATGACAATCTGGATGAGAAAATTTCAATTATTTGTAATTTCAGTTTTGGCGCGAAAATCCTACATAATATCACTTTAATTCCAAATTTTCCACAGAACGACTGATTCGAACGCACCGCTTTCGAAAATTCAAATACAAAATTCGGACGTTTAGGGACACCAAATTTTCGCTCATTTTGCATTGAAAGGCGTGTTTCCTTGGGTGGGTATGACAAATAAAATACGACACGGGGTATTCCGCATCATCTTCGGGCCCAGCCCTCCCGCGGATCTGCCTCCGGCCTTAGTGCGATCCCACGCCCGGTCGGGCTGATACCTCGGGCGATACGGAATACCCCGTGTAGTATTCTATATATAGCGTTATACTTTGTCAACTTTTTGTGCTATTTAACAAGTAAGAAGTCTTAACATACACTTGCCATGTTTCCCTGGGTGAGAGAAAGAGTCCCCTGTTAGTCTTTACAAGAGACTGAGGTGGATTGAAAAAAGACAATGGCCCAAAAGGGGAATATTTGGTCATCATAGGAGTTCAGATTTGTCCAATTCAGTTTATCTTGGTAAAGTTCCCACGCACACGCAACCGATCCCCCAGGCATCTGTCAGGCTCAGACAATAGACGGTGCAACTTTATGTGACTGGCCTGAAATCTTCAGGTCACTTCCTGATCATCACAGATCAAAGGAGTTTTGGCAGTGATTTAAGAACTTGATCTCGACAGATGTCCACATTTTGTCGTCCATCTCTGTTTAGAGTATGGATTTAAGTTGGGTATTGGACTTATACAGATACGAGTAACCATGAAAAATACCGCGAATTGTTGGCAGAGCGGCCACTGAGGAGGTACGTACTAGGTATATGAGTGCAGTACAAAGTACAGGGACTTTCGTGTGGTCTATTACAACTAAGATCGAACCAGAAAAGCGCGCGTAAAGCAGTTGCCCGTAGCCCGCCCGGGTAGCGGCCAACATTCGATCCACATCCTGGCGGCACTCTAACCATGCCCGTAGCCAGGGGGGTTCGGAAGAACCCCCCCCCCCCACACACAAGGCTAAAAGTCCACTTTTTGGTCCACTTTTTATCCAAAAGTCCAAGATTTCCCTTTAGATGGACTGATTCGTACCATCGGCGGGCCTGGAATTGTATAAAAACTGCCTACTTTGAACAAAAAGTTATCTCTGATTTTTTTCTCTGAAATCCTCTCAAAAAAGCAGGAAATGCCATTTCTGAAGGTTCATTTTTCAAAATTTCCCCGGGGAGCATGCTCCCGGGCTCTCCCTAGGAACGTCGCGACTTCGGCGCTCGCCTCGCGCCTAGGGCGCTCGCTGGTCCCTCAATTGCAAGCAGTGGGAAGAACCCCCTCCCCCATTCAAAATCCTGGCTACGGGCATGCTAACGATTTCAAAATCAGACGAAGGTCGCTAATCTCC